CATTCGCCAAAGTACATGATAGTTCTAGAAACGTTGCGTCATAGTAGTCACGTGACTCGCTGACGCAACACTAGTAAGACTAACCAAACTCATTTTGACAATAAATGCCTTCTCTTTCAATGATTCATTTTACAAAGTAATAAAGGGTGTAGTCATGGGTACAAAGATGGGGCTGTCATATGCCAACCTGCATAGAGTACAAATATTTTTCAAACTTAGGATGGACCTATGCAATTCCAAATTCATTTTACCCAGAAGTCTGATGAACTGTCAGTTTTTTTCACAATTAAGAGTTATCCATTAGATATGATCAATTAATTTTCCAGAGATGCTGCAAAGATCATCCATAATACTGGAAGACAAAGAAATATAACTGCAAAACTCAAGTTCCTTTGATTTTGACATCTTTGGGAGATACATATAAAGATCAATCAATTGCTTCCTACTGACATGGAAAAACCTAAAGACTATATTTAATTGAGGACACCAGAAGTAATTACTCATCTCCAATGTGGTATGCTTTGTTATGCATGCTCATGATGCAATACATGCCATTAAGTGAACATCAGTCTTCAATATTTGGACCCAACTCCACTTACACAATCAAACAATTGTTCAACTGTACATACGAATACTTAGTTTACTGCATTATACTTTGACAATTATACATAAGGGAAATAGGTCAAATGCTGTCTGAACGAGCATGTGAAAACATCCAGAATTATGATCCAGACAAACTTGTGGCAAAACATTTCAATGATCATGACCACATCAAAATACTAGCAATTTATCACTCAAAATAAGTCAGAATGTTTGTTTTTTTTTGCATATTTTGCCAAAACTGGGTAAAATGTTTCTTGCAGAACAGATAAAAGTTCATGGGTTGTCCAAAATAATCAACAAAAACAAAAAGAAAAAACATTATTCAGATGCTGAGTAAGTAAATGGATTTTTTAGTAGTTGTTTTTGTAGGACTTTGCTCAAAGCTCTACTCATGGGTTATCTTCATTAGCCATCCATAATTTTGAAGTGGTAGATTAGATGAAGGCAGCTAATCAGCACTGCTAACTCATAGGCTACTTTAATGGAGTAGTGGTAATTGACCCTCACTCTTATAATGCACCCACAGCCCCAGAGTGCAGCACGTGAAACACAAAACATTGAATCCACAATTTCATTGAGTAGTAATTTACTTTTTCACCTCAGATTTGACTCTAAGGCCTCTTGCACACCAGGCAAATGTTCTACTAACAGAGCTAAAGGGTTAGCTCCCTAGTAATGTAACATGTGACAATTTGAACTATCTTGAGGTTCTATTTAAAACTTGCCACCTGATGTTGCTAAGTAAACCTGCAGAAGTGTATCGTTTAGAAATGAAGAAATTGAGGTTTTTAAACATATTTACTTGTTTATCCATAACTAAATAATTTTGTTTGACAAGTTCTTCCAGTGAATATTCAAGTTTTATTCTCAGAGTGTTATGAGTTGTTACTGTCTTTGATTGATTAGTTTTTACAATTACAGTATTCATCATAAGGTCAAACTATGTTTTCCTTTCGTTTTATGCCTTATGTAATCCTTATTTGAATATTTGATTAGAACTTATATTTCAACCAAGAATACTTTCAGAAATCTCAAAAAATTACTCTTCATTCATAAAAGGCAAGTTCAGACATCTGTTTTCTTTAAAAATGTCAAGATCAAACTTAATACCTAAATATTTAAAGTGTATGTTAGCTGTGTTTATCTCATTTGTTGAAGATTATTGGAACTATACAATATAAACATATTAAATAGCATGTACATAAAGTAGACATATTTCTAGCTTGAACCATACTATCTCCCATTTTAACAAAGACTTAGTCATATTTGAAGATGTAAAAAAAAAAAAAACAATAGTTAGCCTACTTAATCACACTCAAATCATGAAACTCAACCTAAAGTCTGAAAAACTAAAAAAATTGGAATCTTTAAGATTTGACAGATGTAATTTTACTAATGGATAAGCTCTAGGATATAAAATTATCAAAATATTCCCGATAAATTCAACAGCTATAGAAATATTTTGAGTAGTTTACTTCATTAGTAAAGTCTCTAAAAAATGTTTTCTTTAGATTAATTTTGTGTTGGTAAACCCATCCATTTAATTTGAACAGAATTACCGAGATATTCATTAAGTACAGCAAGCTGAAATATAAAAAAAACTGTCTTACACTAAAACTGTTGTTCTCAAGAGATTTCAGAATTTGAAGAAGTTTGAACGTAATTAAGCAAAATGTTCTCATTGCCCACAAGCTTAGCTATAATAATAACCCCAGTTTTGCAATGTATGTATATATAAAGAAGTTATGTTTTTAGTGTAACCTAATCACTTCCAACCATGAAAAACCTCTCTCTATAACACTATCAAAATCACTTTTTTATGCTGTCATAAAATCATATTGTATAATATTTAGCTCACTATTTGTTAAATAATACACAACAGTATCTTGCCATATGATTTGATAAAGTTAGCTCTCGGTATATACTCCTTTAAATAGAATTTAAATAAGTACTTGAATTTGTTTGATTGTTGTTGAAATTCTTCATGGGCTTTTAATATGAAGTCTTATTAAAAAAAACATACTAAATTAGAAAAGCACAATCATTGTATCTGAAGATATAGCAAGGAAAAATTGAAGATATAGAGAAAACAAAAACTTTTCTCTCTTATTACTTTTTTTATTTAACCCAATCAGCATGAAATTTTAACTGCAGGAGTTTGAAACACAAGTTAATCATTGAACTTATAAAATATACATACAATAATGATGGACTATTGAGGAAGCTTTTTAGTCTGGTGACTTTAGAGCTAATAATAACTAGCTAAAAAAGAAAAAGTTACTTTGCTGCTTATAATCAATACAACTGATAAAATTTTACTTATGAAATTCAAATCAAATAATTCCAAAACCTATGTCTAGCATTTAAAAACTGGATGAAATATTACAATCTTTTTTTTTTCATATTCAAAAAAACATAAAAGAACTACATGCGTGTTCAGAATGTCATATTTAGGATATGTAGATTAAGTTTAATGTGAAATAAAAATAGGTCAATGTCAATAGAAAGTTATATACTAAATATTTATATTTTTATTAATTAATACTGAACAACACCAAATGAGTCAGTGTAAATATTTATACTTGATGTGAAAAAATTATCCTTCTTATGTTTTGAATAAACAAAATGGTTCAATTTTCTTGTAAAATTTAAAAGAATAAATAAACTTAAGATGAATGGAGGACTAACATTTTGCTTATCCTTTATACTTATGGTTTACAATATAAAATGTTCTTAAAAGAAAATAAGAGAATTAGTGAGATACAAAAAAAAGTTTTTTGGTGAAAACTTTCAGTTTCCTTTTTTTATTTTAATTATAAGGTGTAACATCTGTATTTTTCTTGATTAAGAAAATAACAAACAACTTGCAGAATCATTCATAAGAATGTACAAGAGTTTAACTATAGACTCGTATGGCATGATCAAATAAATGCTAATCATCTGCTGGTCCAGCAGAACCCATTCTTTGAGGATCCTGTGATGGATAGTGTATTGCTGGATGCGTTGGTGGAGCCTTGATAGCTTGGCTTTGTACTGATGTACCTGGTGGAGGTCTTGGAGGAGCAGAAGGAGGTGGTATACGAGGTGGAGGAGGAAACATTCCAATAGGTCGAAGTGCAGGTGGTGGCCCAGGTGGAGGAATTCCTGGTGGTCGCAGAAATGGTGGTGGAGGAGGTGGATACCTTGGTCCTGATAAAAACAAACACAATCTGTTTTGTTTGTTTGTTACGGTTACAATTACACACTGGAAGCGTTTTTAGAATCAGCTCTAAAATTATGGAGTCCTGCTGCTTTTAATATAATGTCATAACAGTTGATGAACAGCTCTTTCAACTTTATCTAAAATATCTGTTAGACACTATAGAAATAGGACAAATACGAGTAACCTTAATTTAGTATAAAACTGCAAAATCTAAGTTTACTAATCAACAGTAATTAGAATTGTAAAAAAAGTTAGAATAATGCCAATTGAGCATTAGATAAAATAAAATTCTTAACTATCGACCACAGAGAGGCAAGAGGCTGCAGGAACTTATAGCTGTATTTTCTTTTAATATATTTTATTTAGTTACTTACTAATGAATTGATTTCTACAATATTTGATTATTTTACACCAAATTCCTAATTTACATTAGAGAAGGATTGATTTTGTTCCAAAGTTAACATTTTCCTAATCTGAAAATGTATTTTTGATAGATACTAACCTCCACACAAAGAATAGCTATATCCCTTGAGCATCTGCCTATGAGATTTGCATGTCACTAACCTTGACATAACTCCCACCTAAAATTCACATATTTAACATGAACTGCACTTGTGCATGATGACATCATCCTGCAAAAAAAAAGCCCTCCACCAACAGTACGACGACACAATCTCCATGTGCAGTAACTCCCCTTAAGCACTCGAAATAACACATACAATAACTAAAATCCCATGTTGAACTGGTGGAAGGGCCAGCACAAAGGTAAACCTAGATGAGCTCCCTACAGAAAGCACCTGAATGGGATGGGTGGAATAAAAACATGAGCACTTGTACACAAGCAGTCAGCGAAAAAAATAAGCGTAGTGTTGTTTTGGGCATAATCAGACCGTACTGGGTGTGTTCACCTCAACTCAACTGGACAGAATCTTGCTGCAGAAGGAGTGCACACTAGCTGTTTGAGGAGTGACCTGCAATACACTGACAGCATCACCACTGCCCTACTTCTCACCATATTGTGCTAAGCCCAATCAATGAGAAACTCTCCAAGGTTTACCACCCCTTAGGCTAGGAACTGGAAAGGTTCTTCTGTGAGGGAGAATTCACAATGGGGAGACTCAGGAAAGTGTCCAGATTTCCATCATATGCCTGTCAAAAAGGTCTTTTACTGGAGACAGTGCAATGGGAGGCTGTGAAAATCTATTTTGATAAGTCGGCAAGCATGAGCCAAAGAAGTGACAAATCACTTCCCTGATGATTGCTTATTCCATGATAGTTCATGGAATGGTATGGTATGTATCAGGAAATTCAGTAATCTTGTACACCATGAGGATACTTCTAGTGGTTTTACAGATCACCCCATCTTGATATGGGCATTTGTAGAGCCAGGGCAGATGGTCTGAGCTTATTCCGTTACCCCTGGCCTGATAGGGATTTTTGGAAATAAGTATACCCTGGGAGGAAACACCAGCCACCTGGCAGGATCCTGATAGAGAAAAAAGAAAACATGCTTACCCATCTCAAAGATGGTAAGTTGGTTAAAGAATGGTGACCACAGGGAGGCAAAACAGCCAGATGATGAAGATAATGAGTGACAAATGTGTGAAGAGTTGTCCAAGTGCCCACTTGGAGGTCTCGTCCTAGGGCCGGAGAAAATGATAAGCAAGAGAATGAGACAGGTGACAAAACATCAAATAGCTTATGAGTATTAATATCCAGGAAAGAATACACCAACCAGAGGAGTTGAAAGATACATCTGGTTAATGTAGAAAGTGAGAAGTACCTGGATGAAAAAGGGTCCCACAGTAGTTACAGACAATGGCCGGGACCCTGAAAGGGAGAAATCTGTACCAATTAACACTGAACATCCCAAATTGGACATAGGATCTGATCCAGGTCTGAACAAACATAGAGGTGAGAGATAGAAAGACCCTAGACACGAGAGAAAGAATGGTGACCCTCCTGAACAACTGAAGTCTTAGAAAGAAATTACCAGTCTGGATAAAGGAGTAAATAAGTGTGATGGAGCTCAGGTAGCATCAAGTGCATAGATGTCTGACCAATAGCAACCACAGGTAAGAAGGACAAGAAAGTAAGTCTTAAGAGAAAAGTGGTATAAAGAGCAAGAAGCCAATGGCTCAAAAAGGACACATCTGAGAGTGTGCAACACCAGATTAAATAGAGTCAGTGAATAAGGAAGGAAAAAATACCCTCTGGTATCAGGAAAGGTGAAAGGTAATAGATAAAGATGCCCAATAACTAGAGGTGATTAAGACTGACTAAGTATGGTTAAACAACTAAGTCAAAAAAGGCAGAAATGTGTGTCACAGTAGAACAGCTGGGAGGAAAGGAGTGATTGATAGATAAATGACAAAAAATTCACCACCTCCATTGTTAGACAAAGTGGAAGGACAACAGGAATGGGATAAGAAGAAGGCTATGCAATCAGAGAGTCCAGCCCTAAGGGCAATTAACCAGACATATCCCACACCTGAAGATGAAGGAATGATAATTCTGATTGAAAAAATGATGTGTGAGGTTGGAGAAATAGAAAGGGGCTACTGAGTATAGAAGGGGGGGTAGGATCCGAATACCAGTTAAAGAAGTAGAGAAAACCAGAGCTGAGCTGGCCAAAATGAACTCTCTTCATGTGCCCAAATGTCATTTCATCATTCAAAGATCTGTCCCAACCCAAGATGAAAGTATCTGTGAATAACTGGAGATCTGATTGAAGGTGGGGGAGGGGACACCAATCATGGGATTGGCAAGGTCTAGCCACCAAGTCAGATCCTCGAGTAAAGGAGAAGGCAGGTTCACAACTGAAGACAATGAATCCCAAGAAATATTCCACTGGAGAAGACGTGTGTACATCCCTTAGGGAACAAGTGGTTCCAGAGAAAGAACCTATCATACAGGATGAAAATAAGAAACACAAACCTTGGTGATCATACATTTTATAATGAAGAAGTGAAGGTTGAGCCTGACTGAGAGAAGAGGAGTTTAAAAAACACCTAGATATTGTGTTGGCATGAGAAAGGATTTGGAAAGCTTAACAAGGCATTCCAAATGAGCTGCCTCCTGCATGATAAGGAGGTGTAATAGAAGGGGGCGAATACAAGCCAATCATCCATGCAGAAGTGAAATCACAGCCCCAGTCTATGAAGATGGCAAGTGAAGGACTTCATGGCTCAATTGAAGGCATGGGGGGCCAAAGCTATACCAAAGAAAACAGCACAGAATTGTAAGACTTGGTTCCTATAGACAAAGGGACAGGGCACTTGGGATATGTAGGAAGGCAATTGACACATTGACCTTGGTCATTCAAAGACCAGGTGAAAAAGACAACCTGAGAGAAAAGAAATTTTCCATCCAGAACCATGGTACAAGAAGTGGAATGGGAAGGTTAGAGGTAGACTGATCCAGTATAGGAACATGAGTTGAAGGTCAAGGTTGAGAAAAACAAGAAACTAGGGAAAATAATGAGGAATGATGCTGGGTTGTTTCAGCTCGAGTCTCCAGTGAATCAGGAATACCACCAAAGACTTCTAGATGAAGAAAAGGAGCCCAACAACATTCACATACATAAGGAGGAGATATTAGTGGGGAGCAAATTCTGACCCAACAGCAGAGGAACTAAGTAAGGAAAGACAGAGTAGAAGAAGTGCTATGGGCCCACCAAGTAGTAGAGAGAAGGAAACAAACCTCTCCAGAAAACCCCTCTTGGACACAGTGAAGTGCCTGAGGGAGGAGATGTAATACAAGAGAGTGGTGAGAAAAAGAAAATGGATAAAGAGAGAGAGAGAAAGCACAAATAAAAAACAAGGAGTTTGCTCCCCAAGCAGGTAAAAGGTTCCAAAGATTGGGAATCTAGAAAAGGAAAGGAAAAATGGCTGTAAGTCAGGACAAAAGAGTCAAGAAAGTGAGGAAGACAAGGCATGTGGTTATGGGTGCAAGGTTGTTCGAGAAAGGAATCAGCAAGAACAATAATAATATCCTGCGAAGGAAGAAAGACAAAGTAATCCCAAGTATTGGTTTCATGGAGTAAAGAACAGGAATAATAAAAAAAAAAAAAGAAGGGAACATATCTGAAAAATTGGAAGGGTGAGGATTTTCCTTGACTGGTAAGGCAGTACCCAAAGAAAACTCAGGTCAGTCAAATTTGTCATCTTCCTGATCATTCTCAAATGGAGTTCAAGGGGCACCAGCCAAAAGGACAGGAAGAGGCCCACTATGCATGAGGGAACCCGCAACATGCAGCACAATAGCTGTAACATCCTCAATAGTCAACGAGCCTCCAGAAGCCATAGTAGAAACAGGTTCTGTGTTTGTAACTTCATCACCATGAGGATAAAGTCAAAGTCACCATAACTTGTGAATTCATGATAATCATCAATGCTTTTGAATCAAAAGCTAAGGTAGAACTAAACCTAAGTTCCTTTGTACCAATACAAACTGAATGGAGACTGAAAAATCAAAACATCTATACAAGGCAATGCCAAAGAAAAGAATGAAGTTACTTTGAGTGCAAGTGCTCAAGGGGAGTTACTGCTCATGGAGATTGTGTTGCCTTTTGTCGTATGATGATGTCATCTTTTACCAGTGGCATGTAAATCTCATAGTCAAACCAGTGAGAGATATAGCTATTTTGTTGGGAAATGAAGTATTCTCTTGGAATACTTGAAAGTTACCTAAATTAATTTCATATCCTTAGTAATAGTAACTCTAAATGATGAAAGCTTCAATATAACACATTTGTAAACTTTTCTATAGGCAATCATATTTAACACTAATTATAAATAAAAGTTAACTTCTTATACATTATGCCAGCTTTATCAGTTTCCTTTAATTGCATATCTTGCAAACAATTTTTTAAACATCTTATTTTATACTTTATTGTTAGTATGTGTCCAGTGTTTGAATTGTCATATCTAGAAGATGTTACCTTTACATTTTAAATTACTTTTTTTATGGTTAAGCATTTGTCCCTCTCTAACTAGTGCTTTCTCTAAGTGTGGTACCACAAAGAAGCAAGAGGCTTTCAAATTCCTGTTTTTTTATACATGAATGTCGTGCTAACAATACAATACAAATATCAAGTCTTAGTTTTTATGTAGTTTAACACTTTTCACATGGGATTGGTCGATGTGACCAACCTGTTAGCTCCAAAGTGACCATCATAGTTTTCAAACTCTAACTTTTAATATATTTTGTGTGTCTTCACAATATATGGCAAGCTTTCAATAAATATTAAAAGTCTTTTGTACACACAAAAAAATCAAACTTTTTAATTAAGTATTTTTATTAAAACTTTGTCCATGAATATATGGAGTCTGAGTGTGTAAAGTGATTTTCATGGTAAGATTAAAAATATTTTCTTCATCCAAAAATTGTCAAATTTGATTTGCATAATCTCGAAGACCACTAAAATAAATATCAAATATTTTTTTATTAAAACTTTATATTTTCTCTACCCTAACTCTATAAGCATTTGGTCAATTTGACCAACCTTGTAACCACCATAAAAAAAAAATGAAAATAAATCTATATTCCCTTTGTTTCTTTTTAGGATTACTACAAATTGTAACAAGAAATTACAATTGTTTATCCCAAATACCTTAAAGCTCATAGCAATCTATATTTATTCATACTTTATTTTATTGTCCTTTGACTTGTGTCTAACTAAACAATAAGTTGTAAATCACTCCGCATATGCATAGCTTACATCACCCTATTGAGTAACTAACATAACACATGATGTGCTCATGAGCATATCTTGTGAAGAATCTTTATTACTTTTCATTATATTACCTAATTTAACCTAATAACTTTCTAATTTTTACAGAATTTTAAAGAATATACATGAAAAACAAAAAAACTGTAGAATTACTTGTATCCTGTTGTTTTTTTCCTGTTGGATGTCGATGAAATTTAAGCCTATTGCTTTTATAATAATGGTACTAGAGCACTAAATAATTTTTATTTACTTAAATAATAACATCCACAAAGCAAACAGTGTCCTATATCTATTATAATGTACCTGGCTTTCTAATTATGGCATAAGTGCCTTTACAAATTTAGATAAGCTTGTCGAGCTGAATACAGTGAGAGAAATTTTCAAACTGAAGATGAAATTGACAACACTGAATAGAAAACAACATAACATAATATGTCATTTGATAAAGTAAAACTTTGGCTTTATATTGATTATAAATAATATAGTATAAAACATCAGAGAGAACTATTGGCAATTTGTGAAAGAGAGGATGTGAAAGGTGGGTGATGCAAGTGGGTCTGATTTTCTAGTTTCTGGTTCTGTAAACAAACAAGATTGAATGGTAAAAAATTATGCATTCCCTTATAATATCTATACTATAATGAGTAATTTACATTGAATTTCATACTTCTCATAGGAGTGATAAATAAATAAGAGAAGAGGGAAGACCTAGAGAACAAATGCCACAATTCTCATACTAGGGGGAGATTGAGAATTTGTTTTAAATATTTCTTTATAAAATTAAGAACTTAAAACTTATATAATACTAAAATTTGATTTATTAATTATGTTTTGATGCCAAGTTTGTTCATATACAATGATAATAAAGTAGTTTAATTAAATTTTGAATGTAACTCTCTAAAAAGTTGTGACATGCACACTTTGATCTACCCATAGTGAGGGGATTAATAAAAATTTCAGTGCTATATTTTTGACAAATTGCTCTACAAAGAATTAAAAGGGTATCAATGATTATGAAGTCATAGCAAAGAATGAAGAGATGCTACTATTATTCTCTCTCTCTTTAAAAAAAATGGACATATTATATGAAACATTTTGTCTCGGTAAGACAAAGTTCTAATATTTTAAGCATCTATATTTGGAAGTATTACAAAATGTAAAGTTATTGCAGTTAAGTCTAAGTTATACATTACTATCCAAGATTCAACCAGTTGGGTATGAAAAAGATTAAGTGTTTAGGCTTTTAACCAGACTATGTTCAAAATTGGGAAATAAACATAGTATGCGAATCGTGAATTTTTAATTTTATATTCTGTTTATCAGAACAACACATTGTGAAACAGTCAAGTCAAGACCCATATGATTCAGGCATATCGATCTTTAATTTTGAATAGAAGATTAGATAGAAACCAAGGAGTTGGTGGCTATTCTTGATCAAATAGTGAGATTGACTTTCACTTACAATGTACCCACAGCTGAACATGTGAAGCATGTTTGGTTAGCACCACATCTCAAACCCAATTCTCTTGAATCCCCATACATACACTAACCACTAGAATATGTTTAATCTAATTTATTAATTAGGTTACAATATTTAGGATTATAACTGATGTTCAGAATTGTTCTAGAAATCCTAGTAAACCTACATAAAGGGTCAAAACAGTATATTTATAATTAGTGATTTCAAACATTAAACAGTGTTTAAAACCAAGTTAAACTTATAATTTAAAATTGTCCAGGATATATTTTACAGTAAATAAACTTAAAAAAAGATAATAACATTACACATTCAATCTTCATACACATTAAGTATTTCTAATTTTTCAGACAGTTGTGAAGAATTAAAAATTAAGCAAAATTTCTTTACATAATCATCCATTTCAATTTAACTATATTGCTTTAATTATCATGAAAATAAGCATCATCATCACAGCACAACTTGTTTGATGAAACTGTCAAATAGATAATATTTACAGGACAAAATGAGGACAAAAAACCAATGAAAAATGTTGGGTATCTGTTGTAGCTCAATGTATTAAACAGTATAAAAATTAACTATACAAACAAATATTTAACTCTATAATTCATACCAAATAAAGAAAGGCACGATAATCTGAATAATTAGATTTTCCACAAGTTGTTAAGTTTATCATAACATAAAAAAAAGAGAGACAATAAAAAATCATACCTGCTGAAGGTAAAGGTGGCCTGCTTACATTTGGTGGAGGTGGAAGTGGTGGAGGAGGTGGTAGAAGTATGTTTGTTGTATCTGTTAGGTTGAAATAGTTGTTTGTCAACTCCTCTGGTGGGGGTGGTAAAGCTAAAAAGGAGATCAGGTTTTTGATGGAACAGTTTGCAAAAGTTTAAACATATAAACACAATTTTTATTTAGAATAAGCTTTAATTGAAAGTAGCAGTTATAAGAAGTTTTTAGAAATATGTGCAAAAAGTAGGTATATTCGACCGTATTGGAGAAAGAATGTTAACTAGAATTCCAAATTTACTAGGCTCACAAAATGTGGTAAGCCTTTAGTAAAATGTACAAGTCTGTTGTAAACAAAAAATAAGATGTATCACAAAAGTACTTGTACTCAATATATATTTGTGAATTTATGTTGTCAGTCAGACTCAGACTCAAACAAGTCAGTGTGCAAAATGATGTTTATGTGAAGAATAAAAATACTTTTGTCCATCACACAGCTTGCATATTGCATAACTCCTAGAACCTCCTAAATATATATCTACAGTTTTTGCAACATCTCTGTATACTGTATCTGGTATTTACTGTCCCCTACCACAGACTGTTGTTAAATCAGCAATTTACGGTAAAATAAATAGTTAATACCTCCGACACTGAACACTTATTGTGTTGAATGGTACTCTGTAAAAGGCCGTGGTATTCACACTTTGACTCCTACCCATGCAAGTAAGGCTAAACTAATAATTTTTATCTTTTCTTTTGAACCTAAAAATTCAAACCTATTTATTTCATTACTCTAACAGATAACTCTTCTCACTCCTATAACTTTTACGCTGCCCTCTAGTTAAGTCTTTTATTTTACTAGTGAGTTGACTTAACACAAGTTTTATTAATTTTTAATATAGAATAGATTTCATATTATTATGAATATGAAAATAACCATGACTAAAAACGAAGTTTGTACATACATTATAAAATTAGACACTGTAACTTAATACTGTCTGTTTATAATTTTATGAAATCTTATTTGTAAACTTCTTTATTTCATTTTAAACTTTATGTATTTACTATGATCTTATCTATAAGCTAGTTTTAACTGAGGGAAATGTGCAAGTGCTTCAGATATTTGACTAAGACATTTGACAGGAGATGATAAATCAGAGACAGCTGTAAAGAGCACTTAAAAATCACATGGAAATGTAGTAAATCACCTGTGTAGCATATAAAATAATAAGACCTAGGATAAAAGAGAATATTTGACACTAGTTTATGGTACACAATAAGTAAAATGTGACTAGTAATACTGCCTCTCTTGAGCTCAAGATCTATAATACAGTTTGCAAAAGTCAAAGATTAATCAGTTTTTCATTTGAACCATACGCACATTTTCTCTTAATAACACATACACAAAAAAAAAACAAAACTACAGTTTTTTCAACCAGCTGGTGCATACCAAAAAAAGTTAAAAGAGCAGAAAGGAATCTTCTGATTGTTAAGACATAGAATGATAACCTTAAAACCTAGCACCTTCTAATGTTAACTTCTGATTACACACAGTCATCTTCAGCAATAATAACAACTGATAAAAAGATAAAAAAGCTGGAATTTTAGAAGAATGAAATTTCCCAAAGTTGACTTCAATATTCATGTATAACTTATCCATATTTATTACATTAAAGGAGGCATGCTCCTCTTCTATAATATTAAATTACCATAAAAAATAAGTCATTTGTAAGAAGAATAGATCTATGCCCATTACTACGTGCAACAAGTATCAAACAAAATGCACAATAAAATCTATTTATACATTACTTGTAACTATAAAATCTTGATTATACTTTTAACAGTCACCATTAAATGACTCCAAAATCTGATGTAGTAATCACAGCAGTTTATTAATAATTTCCAATTACACACTTTATTGTAATCATTCAAATGGCAAAGACTGAGAAATATGTTTACCCACATCTCTGGACACACCAATGAAATCATAAAAAATGCACATAAAGGCCTGAAGTGATCCACTAACAACAACTTCACCTACCAATCAGTAAATGATTATAATATCAGAATAGATGCAATTCATTTTTTTACTTCATTCTTGCTACAGGCTCTGTTGAATCAGCCAAGTTTGTGACCATAAATTTACCTTTATAGTTTCCATATTATAACCTCTAATATGTTTTGTGTATCTTCACAAGATTTTGCAAGCCCTTACTAAATATGAACAGTTGTCTGTAGACAAAAAATAAGATTTTTAATGAAGTACCTTCACTAAAAATTCAGTCAAATTGACCAACCTTATACTGAGCTAGGGTAGAGAAAATAACATAAAATGTAAAGTGTTATTTAGAAAACACAGATTTTCCATGTGAAATTTGTAAATTTTCTGATGCATAAAAGTATATTTAATCTTAAAATGAAAATTATTTTGTATGTTGGATAGGCAATGTACAAAAAAGAAAAAAGGCATGAGAAAAACATTGCTTAACAAACCTTAACACTTAATAAAAAAATTAGATATCTTGCATATGAAAGCATTGTAATGTTTACTGATAATCTGCCAAATTTCGTTAATATATGCTTACTAATTTAAAAGTTATAGCATGAAAACTATAACAAGCACAAAATAGTTACGAGGTCAGTCCCAGGGACCAAGCCCATGCTGAAAGAGATATTATGGTACTGTCCACACTAAATAACTTTTTTATTTACTTAAAAAATATGTACCAAAGAACACAAAATAACATATGAAAAGCAGACAATGTACAATGTTTCTGGCTTTCTAACTATGCAACAAGAGCTGTTAAAAATTCAGTTACATTTGCTGATGTGTTTCCCATAGGAAGTTTGAACTAGAAGAGAAATATACAATTCTCTGTATAGAAAACTATGTAATATAATATTTCATTTGATAGATTGAAACTTTGGCTTTTTAATTGGTTATAAATAATATAATATTAAACATCAGAGAGAACTACTGCAATTTGTGAAAGAAAGGATGTGGCAAGTGGGCATGGCAAAAGGGGTCTGTATTTCTAATTTATGGCTCTGAAACCAAATAAGATTAAAGGATATAAAAATTATGCTTTGCCTGAGTGATAAAAATATTATAATGAGTAATTTACATTAAATTCTGTACTCCTCGGAGAAGATGGAATACCTAGAGATTAACAGTCACAATTCTCAAACTAGGGTGAGACTAAGTATTTTTTTAACATCTCCTTATAAAATTAAGAACTTGTATATAATATAATATTAAACTTAGATTTATTAACTTTGTTAAATTCTGAATGTAACTCTCTAAAAAGTTGTGACATGTGCAATTTGACCTGCTCATCGTGAGAGGGTTAAACTGTAGAATACAAATTTACTAAAAAAAAAAAAAAAAAGAATATTTTCTCACACTTATCACCACCCTAAAGTAAAAATATTTATGCATGTTGTTATTACTTTTACACCAAAAAAGGCATAGTGAATGAATAAATTATTCCTAGTCAAATAATTAATTTCATCTTGTATCTTAAAAAAATTTACAAAAAAAGAGCAACTAGAAATGATTCAAAAACTATTTTTTTGCATTTCATCTTGTAGAAGCCATAGTAGTAGGTGAATATAACAGCATCTGTCAGCAAAAAGATGATAAAGGTATGCGTATGTAAGTTATTTAAAATGTTTCTTGAAAGCATTATTTTCAAAAGTTGTGTACATATATAAACAAAAAAAGGCAATTTTGTTTTATATTTCAACAGAAAAAACTACACTACAGCTTCAATTACCAGTTATTAACCAGATATCAAAATTTTATGGAAAATTTTCTCAGTCTTTGTCACTAACAGTAGGTAAATTAGAGACAAAAATGAGCAACTATAAGAGGAAATACAGACCCCCTGGTAGTCCTGGAACAGGTTCTAATTTCTTTTCCACTCCTTCCTTGGTTGCTGAAGCTGCTGCTTTAGCCTGACTTCTTCCCCATTTGATTACAAGTCTACGGCCACACAAGATCAGCTTATTAAAAGACTGTTCGGCAGCCAACTCAGCAGCAGATCGTGACGTAAACTGTATAAAAGCACACTGTTGACGTGACACCATGGTAACAGATCGAATCTCACCAAACTGATAAAAATAATCTCTGAAAGAGAAATCATTCATAAGATAAAGTGTCAAGTTTAAAAATAAATAGATTTAAAACTTTTTTTGGAAAGTACAAATTTTACAAAACTAAGATGTTCTGTACTTCACATATAAATGCCAGTTTCTCAGAGAAAGGAAATTTTACTATCAACTTCAACCTTTTATTATATTATTTAATCATATTCTACTTTTACACTAAGAAACACTTAATGTGAAATTTTATAAACTTTCAGAAAGTTATAAGTTCAGTGCATCACAAAAAATGCTTGTGACTTCCACTATTTATTGAAGGCCCAATTATTAGCTTTTTGCATGACTATATATGTGCGTATGTATGGAGACAAGTAACATGGATATGTGTAACATCTATAAAGTTTCTTAAAAAAACTGTGGAATGCTCCATAAAACATTTTTAATGTTAGGTATCGAACAGCCCTTCTAAAGTTGTGGCCTACTTTTTTGGCACCTTTTCCCTTAAATTGTTACCCTTTCACATATAAAAATTAAAATTACAGGACATTAGAAAATACTGGATTCACAGATCAAACAAAAAAGAATTTACACTACAAATGGTTTCAGTGGTTTGCTTTACATCAACTAAAAGTATGTTGAAAGTGGTGAGGAATGTAACAAACAGCTTCATTATTTTTTACTTAGGAACAAGTTGACTTTTTATTTTTGTCAGTTATTATATGGTTAAAAGCAGACTTGTACAAAATAATAAAAAGCACTTAAAATCAGCAAGCACATAATATTTGTAGTAATTACTTGCCTTAAATCTTTCTCAGTCATTTTTTCTCCAAGATTCCCAACATAAAGTGTTGTTATGAACATATCTTCTGGAGGCTCCAACTTCGGCATCGTGTCTGCCCTTCTCAACAACTTATCAGCCACAGGATCATTGATACCATAGTAACGATCCTTAATATTTTGGTCAGCTAGTGGATCATCTGGATCTGTAGGTTTTTCATGTCTGTAACACACAAAATTATACAGTTTATTTCTTGTATTTTACTAGTTACTAACAAGATTCTAAGTATGTCCAGTTTTGTGCAATATACTTTATGATATTCAGACTGAGTCATTTAAAACAAACTACTGATTCAGCAACACAATAAACCTTTCTATAACAATATATGATGAACAGTGTAACACCCATAACCAACTCAATAGCACTGAGAAATTATTCATCTGTAGTAAAATACTTCACATAGTAAGGTTGGCCTTATTTGTAAAAACTGTCAATACAAAAATACTATTAATTATTTATCAAACAACAGATATATGTACCAAAAGAAAATCAATATATGAGCAATTATATAAACCAAATTCGTTATTGTGAATTGGAAACTCAACACTTCACTTTACAGCTTCTTCAGATGCATTTTACTAAAACACAAGCCAAATAGAGTTTATTATTTAAACAAACTGAAGCTTTGTACTCTCAGTTACAGTCTGTGTTTTAATGGAACACTCCTGAAAAAGCTGTAAGGCGTAAGGTTGAGTGCCCAGTTAAAGAAGAAGAATAAATCTGGTGTTATAAGATTGTTTGTTACTTGTCTTTTATACAACAATATGCATTAGAAAAATTATGTAAAGAATATAAACCATTTATTTCCAATATATTTGAATATTCAGGTAACAGTGTAATAATAATTACTAAACATTGTAAACAGAACAAATTTTAACATACAAGTTAAATCGACTTTGCTATTTTAACTATCCTAATTTACATTTTCCTAGAATTTAGCAAAACCACTACTTCCTGTTCTTCAGCAACATGTATAATGAACAGTTGTTCAAAACTTTCACTATAATATACCTGTAAGGACATTCTTCTCCACGCTTACATTCTCCTTTCACCCAGAAACTACATATATGAGGTCGATTTCGCTTATAGTATGGTGTAGTGCGGGCCAATTTCATGAGTAAATCACTTGGTGCTTGAGCTTTAGATAAAGTTCCATATGGTTGAGTAGCATCTAAGTTTTGTACCTGAAAATAAGTTTTGTGAATATAATCTGAATTATAAAAAAATTTCCAAATAACTTTAATTTTTCATCAAAAAATTTCAATTAAGAAATATTGGTTAAATTCAAAATAATAAAAATATTTTCATGCTGAGAAGTATGCATTATGTGCTGTACTCAGAATTATTTTTCATTAATATTTTCAATATTAAAAACGTTGAACTTTTAGAAAGGTAAAAACTAGAAATTATTCAAGACATAACAGCAAAGGGAAGATATGAGCATTATACATTGATGCTTTAGTAGTTAAGTGTAATGGCTTAAAAAAATTGATAAATATTACAGTTCACACAGAAACAGTTGTTGTTCAAGCATTTAATGATGTAAAGAGCTTTTCAACCACTTCTGCATTTGTTGTATTCCAACCAGCCTGACAAGTCTTGGTACTGGATGAAAGTCCTTTTCAGATTTAGTGTGGTTGACAATACATAACATTCATCTTTACTTTTGCTTGTACGTTCTTATAATAACTCACCTGAAAAGAAGGCATACATCCAATTTTTCCATTTGGTGTGTGTTCTGTTCCCTAACACTGTTCCAGATCATTAAATGATAACAAAATATTACATAACTAATATTAGATAAGACACAAGTAAAATCTTAATGGCATGCAACATACCCTCTATTGAACTACCTGGTCTTATTTTAATTTCATTTTAAGATTTAATCATAAATATTTTTGGGAGAGAGTTACAGGATGATTTTAAGCTAAGACAAGGTTACACAAATTTATATAAACCTTTTCTTTTTCAGTTTACAAAAATATAAGTTAATGATGCACTGATACAGTTATATAGAATAAAATCTTCAGAAACCAAAGTAAAATTTCTTTTAAACAAATAAAACAAATATTTATTTTGTATAGCTCAAACTACAAAATATCTTAGTGTTAACATAATCAACAAAATCACTTGTCAGATTGGGATATTCCCAAAACCTGTTTTCCACAACACTCACCCACAGCCGATGACTGACTGCTCAAATTTTATGAAGTGCACTAAGTATAACTTTCACAATCCCTTGATTCTTAATGGGGTAACATTTTTATGATTTTAAGAATGAAGCAGTTACGGTAAATGTGGTTAACCACTGCCGTACAATAATCATTAAACCTAATGGCCAAATAAAATCAATCAAAAAGTTGTATAACCATGAAAAAGCAGTGAAAGATTGAAGAGATTTAATTTTCTTCAAAATAAAAAACAATATAATATAGGTAAATGTAGTTAACCACTAGCCATACAATAATCGTTAAACTAACGGCCAAAATAAATACAATTACAAAAAGTTGTTTAGACCATGAACAAAGT